TTACAAGTTTTGTAGCGGAACTCTGGGCCATTTGGATTGCGTTTAGTCACTCGCAGGCCCCCCTCCAGGTCTACTGTGACAACCAAGCAGTCGTCAACAATCTGTTGCATTTGATTCGACATGATGACATCCCACCACACTGGCTGTGTCAGGATTGATGGTACGCCATCCGTGAGGTCTTTCGAACTCGTGTTACCCAACATCCGAACCCCATATGCATCCAGTGGATTCCAGCCCACTGTTTTGATAACCTTGACTTATTGACTTATTGTTTCAGATCACTGAACAACAAGCCACCTCAGCGGGCACTACACTCGAGCACATTGCCCGCAATCGTCAGGTGATCACGCAGCCAAATCTTGCGCAGCGAGCATTGCTCCAATTTTTGCTGGAATGGATTCCCAAATGCGACGAGCTGCAATTTCTCATCAAGAATGGCTAGTTCATACTCACTGTCAGCTTGATACGAAAATAGACATACAGCCAGGCCATGGAGAACCAGCCTCTACGGACGCTGTACGTTTGACTGAAGCCGAAGCACGTGCCACGTTTTCCCAATGGGACTGGTCACCGATGCCAAGGACCTTTCGGTGGAGACCAAAAATCCCCACTGGTCTCCCGCCTCCTGCAACATGGCGACATACCAAAGAGGAGTCGAACACCATTTGCACATGGGCTCGCACGCTCCGCTGGCAACAGAAAGAGGATGCGAGTATTGCCTTTTGCGAGCTGGCAATTGCTTTCCACACCGCTGGATACAGACTTGCTGGAGACTACAACGAAATCACAATTCATACCATTGCCTGTAAAATTCGGCAGGCTTTTCAGTACCTCATCAAAGATGAGCGTGTACAATTGTGCCCTGGATCCTTTCATGCGACTTTCGTGAAGTCTGCCGGGCGCACACTTGCTCCCAGTTCCTTGACGCCTGTACGCTTTTGAACATTGCACATACTTTACGCTGCGGCGCTGGTCGAACCATCCAGTCTGACGTTTTCTCATTTGTAGACTGAGTGCTTTCCCATGGTGAATTCACCAGAGAGTCAACCATACCGGACCGTCGACGCGACTTCCTGACCGTCCGACGAGCGAGGTACATATATATATATGTATGTATGTGTGTGTGCGTATATGTTAAAACATCACCAAAACCCAGGTTTTCAGTTATTTTTAGATGAATTTTGTGAGGAGCATGGGCGATTTTGACATCGAAATGCTACGAGACTGTGGTTTCGTGCGCTTTTTCATCCTCCAGCATCATCATCAGATCAAAGTCTGTTGGACAACTTCTGACCCAGCTTCGTCAGAAGATCGTCTTTATTCGCGCGCACTGTCGAATGAACTTCATGATGTTTGGGTCTATATCGTCACCGTCGCGTGAACGCAAGCTAGTGGGGACCGACTCCTTACACAAACGCCACATACCATCAATGGCACCGGTGTGGATGAGCAGCTCTCCTGACCGCAACCTTTTCTTTACACAAAACGGAGATCATGGGACGATCGGCATAGCTACGGTCGCATCCGAGGTAGACGATAAATGTGGAACGAACACCCCACAAAGCTAGACTACAACGGTTCAGTCAGGGAGACCCGGCTTTATCTTCGTATGCACTATGATGCACTGAACATGCAACGTGTTTAACCCCCCCACCCAATCGCTTCCTAGTACAAATGCACACAACATGAACATCACTAGCCCCCCACCGAACCCCCCCCCTGCCCCCATCTTCCATATTCCAATGCGTGTGTTTGTGTGTGTTCTTGCCCCGCAAAAGGACTGTATGAAAAATCAGCTTCACTACACGCGCGGTTTTAAGCCCGTCAGCTAAAACATCCCCAAACCTTAGCTTTCAGTCATTTTTAAATCAACTTTGTGAGGACCAGGCCTATCACACAAAAACCAAAAAACACACACAAAAAAACTGCATTTGAAACAAGATGGTGGTAGTGTAGGATTTTGACTTTTTGCCTCAAAGAAACAAAAAATCAAAAATAGAAAACTTGTGAAGGGAGGGGACGAAAGCCAGCCCACCCCATATCGGGTGGCCTTTTTGAGTCCAGCAACTAGGCCTCTCCGCCGGTAAAAAAGAGCACCCCCAAGCAACTCAAAACCTTCCGCCTCCGCTGTGCGTGATCCACATTGAACTCATGAACTCCCACCCCATAGGGGGTGCCCTTTTGAGTCCGGCAACGCGGCCGCTTCACCACTTGAAAAAGGGCACCCCCTCGCAATTCAACACTTGCCCGCTGCAATCTGTTCTCTCTCCTGCCCTCAACAGATGGCATCGTTACACGCACTCGCACCCTTTTGGGGGTGCCCTATTGCGTCGACATAACTCCCACCCTTGGTGTCCTCCGCTGCGCCTGTCTCATCCACATGAACTTTCACCCCATATGGGGCGCCCGTTTGAGTCCGGCAACTAGGCCTCTCCACCAGCAAAACAGGGCGCCCCCAAGCAACGCAAAGCTTGCCCGCTACTGCAATCTGTTCTCTCTCCTGCTCTTAAGAATGGGGTGCCCTATTGCGCACGGTTGCCGGCGTCGCAACCCGAAGCAACTCCAAGCTTTACATCACTTGCATCGCAGCACCCCAAAAACCACTCATTTTCAATACCTCCTGGCCACCTCGTTCTTCGTTTTTCTCCGTCAGGCTCTAGCTCTCCGAAATTGGCCCTGTGGCACCCACCCCCCCCACACCCCCTTTACTCACTTCGTTCCCACCCTACCCCTATCAGCTGGCTTTCGTGAAAAACAAAAAACAGCTTGAGACAAAATGGTGGTAGTATAGGATTTGCACGTTTTTGCTCAAATGTTGTGTTTTGTTGTTTGGTGTTGCTTTCTTTTTCGTAGGCTTTTTCTCTAGAATCTAAAGCTTTGTTGCGCAGCTGGCATTCGTGAAAAGTGGCCGTCTTTTTTAATACATTTCATTTCATTTCTGACACGGTCGCATAGATTTGAAAGTTTCTACAACGGCTTTTGCCGAGTACTGGTGCCGCTGTGCTTCCGACAGTGTCCCTGAACGCAAGTCCTGCGTAGAAAATCTTTAGAACCCTTATTTAAAAGCCATTCAAGTTCGATCAAAACGACCCTGGAAAGACTACCCCTCATGCAGCCACCATACCCTAAGTAGAGCGCACCCTAAATAAAGCTAAACACGTTTGTTGCCTGCTCTAAGAATCTAAGATAAAGATTAATTTCATTTCCTTGTTTAACTCCTTTCTTAGAATTCCCTTTCTGTTCTAAGTAAAAATTAGTTTCACTCATTAAGTTCCTTTCTTAGAATTCCCTTTCTGTTCTGTAAAGATTCTTTTCATTTCCTTATTAACAGCCTTTCTTGGAATTTCCTTTCTGCGCTGATAAAGGATTCATGTCATTTCCTTATTAAATTCTTTTCTTAGAAGTCTCTTTCATCTCAATTCCAGGAACTTGTCCTAAGTAAAGATTCATTCATGTACTTCTTAAGCTCCTTTCTCAGAATCTGGAATGAACTTGATGGTCAAAGTGAGGGGGGTGGAGGGGCCCCTGTGTATTAACAATACGGGTGCCCTGGGAGATGTTTTTACAAAAAGGGCACGTAAAGATACATCATGAAAAGCCAGATAAGCAAGAGACTAAAGCAATATCATTGGCATACATGTTCATCTTGATATATATATATATATGTGTGTAGTACTACATCTATATTCGGTCACGCTGCTACATTCATTGTGCGCAGAGAAAGGTTAACCTATTTGTCATTGGTCTTACACATTCATAGTGGGCAGACACAGAGCTGTTAATTGTTGTAATTGACATTGCACATCCAGACTGGGCACAGGAAGGTTGAAAAACATGCGTTTCGCCTAGGTCCCAGAGCAGTTTTTGATATTTCGCACCGTATTTATAGTGTTTGCTAATGGCTTTGAGCTAGCGTGCGGTGTCCCAAGCACACCCGCTCTCTCTCTCTCTCTCTCTCGTATATATATATATATATGCGCAGTTCGTTCAGCCATGTTCAATAAGCCACTGCAACTCTGGTGGGGCAACCTTCACTGCTGTGGTGGATACGGTTGTTAAGGCCGTGGTCTTCCTTTTGAATTTCCTACTTGGACTGCTGTCCCCACTCCTGCCTGCGCTTGGCTTTTGTTGCTGGCTCATTGGAGGAACACGCCGTGACGGAGACGCGTTGGTTAGGAAAGGTTAGGAGGCTTCCTTGGAGGTTACTCCGCACCACACACACATGGAAGCGATGAAGATGAACAGTAGCCACGACAACAGAGGCTAGTCAAGCCCCGTCGGAAAGCGGCAAGGTCAGCCTCCCCGCCCATGACTGACAGGTACACCTGGTATTTGGGCCCCCGGTAATAGCCCCAAAAATACGGGTTACTGGGGCGGCTGCAGGAACATAGCATGATGCAAAACATACTGTTCATTTTCGTGGTCCGTCTGCAGACCCCAGTAACTTATATATGTTTCTGCGGTATTACCGGGGCGGGGCCGGGTAGGTCGTGGAACGTATGAACCACTCCAAGTGCAGAAGAGACTCCAGTAAATGCAAATCTGTATAGCTTGGTGATCCGACCCAAAGACAATGAGATCAAAAACTACTACCAGGCATGTGCCTTCCATGTTGACATGTCAAAGCAAGGTATTGAAGCTGAAGGGGTGGTCTTGGGGAATCATAGGAGTAGTCTTCGCAAGTGACTGGAACGAGGGATGTCCTATAGATACCAAGCCACAAAAAACATCCTCTTGGCAATCCAAAAACACCAGCAGGCTAGCGTGGTTTACATCACTTGCCGCCCGTCTCCCCCCCACACCCCCTAATTACGAACTTCGTTCGTAGCACTACTTCAGCCTAGCCTATCGGCTGGCTTTCGTAATGGTTGATCAATCGATTAACTCTGTGGAAATTGTGGAAATTGCAGCCCAGTTTGTTTTGAAAGTCAACATGTTGAACCAGCGTCACAAAGGGAGTCAGATTGCTCTCAAGGCACGCATACCAAAGCTCAGCTCGTTCAGGATTTCCGTTGCGGCCACAAGCATGCATCAGACCTTCCGCGAACCCGTCCAGCCAAAGGGAAGGACAAGGACAAGCAATGCCAACAGCTAAACCCCGTCTGGAACATCAAAACCACAGCCGATGACTCTGCACCCCCGCTGTTGTAGGTCTTGTCGTCTGGTTTGACGCCAGCCTGAGTCAATGGGTGGCAACATGGAGGCCAAAACATGAAGACTCACGTCACCAGAGCGCACAGTTCTACATGGGGCACAGAACTGAAGATCATGACTACCTTCGGCGCATGGAACCCCTCATCCCTTTCCCTCCCTTTCGGCGACCCCTCGCCATCGATGCCCACCTGCAACATGTGTTCCAGCCAGTGGTCAGCCCGCTCGATGTCGCCGGCCTTGGCACCTGGCACCGAAAAGCGGGCAGCAGAGGCGATTCGTCGAGTCGATCCGTCGAAGAAGTGGGAAAAAAGTGCGTCGAATGGGTCGCTGTGGACACAGAATGGCGTCGAATGGATCTGGCCAAGTCCACAGCAACACGGAAGCCATGACAAAGCACGGTCAAGCGATGCGAAGCCATGCAAACTAGTGACGGATCGAAACTTCAGTAGCCTACGTCATGAAAGGGCTGAGGAGGAGACACGCGTTGATCATGCTGTTGTAAACCACCGAATCCGCTGCCTCAGTGCACAAAGCATCTGCAACTGGTGCCCAACCCAGTGCCCAAAAAGTCTCAGGCTGCCCGGTGCCCAGACATGTCAGGCTGCCCTTTTGAGTGCTCACACGATAGTCCTGTCGAAGCCGCAAGGCCTACAAGATGGGGGCGATTGTTCTTGCATGGCCCAGTCAAAGCCAATGATCTGACGATCCGAGATGGTGCCTGTAGGTGCCCAGTGGGAGCACAAGCGTTGGCAAAACATAATTGCAGAAGTTTGTGGCCTTTTGCCACACCGGACTTGTCCTTTCTCCGAGCAAGTCAGCTGTTCAAACAATCAACGCACCCCAAGCAAAGGCAAACAAACCCTCGTAGCAACACAAGTTTACGACAGTTTGTACAAACAACCATCCCAAAATACTGGGTGGCTCCAACCACCAGACGGACATCGCGCCCATCGGCCCAATGGGGGGATCCAGAGTTGACTCTCCTTCCACCCCACGCCTCCCACGCATCGATCGATCGCTTCGACGTCGCTACACCTCTGGGCGAGGTTTCGCCCAACTGCTCCAAGGTGCCTCTTGCGAATCCTGGCGCGGAGGTCAAGAGGTCTCTCCCCAAGGTTTCACCAATGACCCAGAATGACCCGATGTCAAGATCCTGAGGTCAACACTCAGTCAAATTGATCCCTCCCTCTGCTTTGAGTGTTGCAAATGTCCGTGTAGACTCTAGACTAGATCTCAATTTTCTCAATGTCCATCAGCCTTTCAGAACTATCCATCTGCACTCAATTGGATAAGACTTGAGAAGACAAAAGCATCTGGACCCACTCTCCTCCATGTGCCCAAACCAGCTTTCTGCAGATTCCAGATCCTCGGCCATTCTCTGTGCTTTGCGGATGAACCTCCCTCTCTTCCAAGTGAAGCCGACCGGTCACCGGTCGCCACCGTCTACCGCCCAAACCGGTGCCGCCCAAGGCACTCCAATCTTGGCAAATGCACTGATGACTGCCGTAAAGGAGACGGTACAGGGTCTCACACCTGCTTCGACAGCTTGCCGGAAGGCCTCACCGAGCCTCATAAGCCTCACCGAGCCTCAAGGTAAGCCCACAGTTCATGGATTCAGTTGAGCACCATGAGCCGAACAATCACTGCACCTTCCGAACAATCACGATGCCTTGCTCGATCATTTGCAACATCCACTTCTCGGCGCCAGCGGCATCGCGCATCTGACACAAAGAAATCTGGAAATGCTATAAGTGGACCAAAACAACATAGGCAGTTGGCGGTTCATGATGGATAAAGGAGATGTTGGTGACATTCCTGTATACTGTATATACTGATACCCAATTCACTGCATGTGGTCAACATGAGGATGGTTGCTAATCAGAGGACAAATCTGAATCAAACTGTTCAATCAGGATGCCAAAAGCTTTGAGCTGCCTTGGCACACGAACTGATCAGGATGTTGTAGGTCACGCGGTTGGGTTTGATGCCACTGGCAACCATGACATCCCACCTGACCATAGTATCGAAGAGTGTGAATCAAAGATCTGTACCTTCAAGTAGCCTTCAAAACGAAGCCTTATCAACAAGAAATCTGGTTCGTTTCCAGATAGTGAACCAAGCTCCAACACAACAGCACTTTGTCTCCGTCATGTTGACAGAGGGGGTCCCTGACTGGGCTGCACCCGGAAGCGCGCGAGGGGCTCGGCGCGAACCCTGCGTCGCGCGCCCCCAGTCCAAACCGTTCGAACAAAAAAACAGGGGCAAGACCTCGTGGGCTTGGGGGCTGACTGGGAGGCGTTGATGCAACAGCAAGTCAAGCTTTGGTCTATGCAAGCTGATCCAAGCTGTCGATCTAGTTAGCCAATCTGAGTTGAGCCCTTGATGCTCGTGTCGTTTTGAGCGTTTCGGCTAAGCTCCCAGGCCAAGAGCGTGCAAGGTCCAAGTCGCCTCAAGCTGCTCAAGCTTCGGTGCATGTCAGGACCAGTCCATGTCTCATGGTTGAGGATGGAAGCTTCTGTTGAGCAGAATTGTTCGCAGCACCCTTTTGCCATCACTGGAGAATCCAAATACCCCACAAAGCCCCTCACCAGGCCAGGACTGAAAAGGAAAAACACTGAGCTCCCGGACCATTCTTGAAGCAGGAGCCAATCATACAGTTGAACGTGACGACCTGAACGAGATGGTCTGGAGGCTGAAGCTTCAGAGGTCGATCACGGACTGATGTCCACCCGGGGTGTCCCGTTCAAGGTGAACCTTTGAAGGACTTTAAGCAAAAAAGTCTCCCAAAGAACGCTCAGAAGACCATACAAAAATGGAAACCTGGATTAACGTCCGCCCTATGTTTGGCTTTGGGTACAAAAGGATTTTAGCTGCAGCCACTGCTCTGCAGCCCCCTCCAAGGCCCTGGCATTGGCTTTCAGCCCGGACTTTTCCATTCGAGCTGCAAACCAACGCGCGGCCTGAAACACTTTGCACGGCTGAGAGTCACAGGATCCGCAGCCGACGGGACCGGTCAACATGCGAAGTCGGATTCTGCGCCTCGGGGTTGTGGAGCTTGGTCTGGCATGCATGGATAATCCAATGGTAGAAGGCCTGCAGCTTGAGAGTTTGGGAGCTCGACTCAAGACGACCCAAGAACCAAGCAAGATGAAACAAAGTGACAAAGATGAAGAAAACGTTTGAAAACTTAAAAGCACAAAACATGGACCGTGCCAGGAACTCCACACATTTGGGAAATGAGTTGTCGTCTTCCAATTGATCAAGATCGGCCGTGCGACCGTCGTGGCCGCTTTTTGTCTCAGCCGCTGCCATGGTGAAAATCTGCATTTTGGCTAAGATGATTCTCATGGAGTGGGTGGGATGAAGAGGATCAAAGCTGCGGAACATCTTTGCTGAACCCACTTGGATTGGCGCCCCCCCCTCTTCTTCCCACAAGTCACTCCACGAAGGAACGAGTCTGCTTCCCGCAACATCCATCAATCCCAGGTCTGGTCTTCCATCCCCGGTCACACACCATCGATCGTGATCTTGATCATCTTCACAGGCTCGTTGGGATTGTCACCACTGTCCGTGGGCACTTGGGAGATCTTTTCGATCAGGTCGTAGCCTCGAACGATGGCTGGATCAGTGAGCTCAGAAAAGGTGGTGGACTGCGGACAGTGGTGTGAACCCCACTGAATTGAGTCTCACTGAGTAGACACACACTGAGATAGAGAGCTCACCGGGGTGAGAACAATTTCAGCTACTGAATCACGAATGCACTAGCCCTTGACCTTACAGTAGTTAGACCTTGACTTGCAAAACGGCATGGCAAAAAAGAGATCTCTTGCATTCAATTTTTCAAGCAGGGGAGTGGAACAGGCCTGCAGGGTTCCACTTAACAAAGCTCTTTGCAGTGTCCTGAGGATATCATTGGAGACGTCCAGTGATGTACCTGCTATTTGTGGTGTTGACAAGCTGTTACTGTCACCCCACTCTTTCTTAAAGAGCTAGTGCGCCGATGTTCAAACAATTCTGGTTTGGTGACTTGAAACACACACAGTGTGCCGATCATCGGCGCTCTGCATCTTTTTTCGGGTCTGGCTGGCGGGCTCTTGACTAAAAACCTGATTGCCGACCTAAATAACATTAAATAACCTCTATATAGACAAGAGAGAAAGAGAGAGAAAGAGAGAGAGAGAGAGAAAGAGAAACTTAGAAGAAGAAACGAAAGCAGAAAGGAACAAAAGCGGGGAGGGAGGGGCGGGGGTGCGGATCGACTAAACGAGCCTAAACGACAACCTAACAAGCCTGAAGAAAAGACCCTGAAAATAAAATAGGGCAAGGAGAGAAAGAGTGCGGGGGTGGGGTGGGGTGAAAGGCACATGTCCGGAAAGCCGAAATCGGCGCACACTTGACTAAAATCTTAAGCTGTAACCTAACAAGCCTCTAGCAACGAACGAAAGACCTACGTAGAAAAAGAAAAGCTGAGGGAAGAGAGAAAGCAAGACCATGCATGGACTACTCAGTTGGATTAAGAATTAGACACATGTGAATACTTAGCCCCTAGAATTTCTGCACTTTCGAAGCTCAAGCTATGGAACCGAAGGTGGCTTACAGCGCAAAAGGCGGGAACCTGAACTGCTCGCCTTTGCCAAAGGACTGAAGCAAGCGCCCCGAGGGGATCATACGGCATACCGCAGTGGGAAGATGCCACTGAACACACTGACAGAGATATAGAGCTCACCGGGGTGAGCATAATTTCAGCTACTGAATCACGATTGCACTAGCCCTTGACCTTACAGCAGTTAGACCTTGGCTTGCAGAACGGCATGGCGAAAAGTCAGCAAACCAGAATTGTTTGAACATCGGCGCACTAGCTTTTTAAGAAAGAGTGGAGTAACAGCTTGTCAACATTAGAAAGAAGCAGGTACGTCATCGGACGTCTCCAGTGATATCCTCAGGACACTGCAGAGAGCTTTGTTAAGTGGAGCTCTGCAGGCCTGCTCCACTCCCTCCCCTGTTTGAAAAATTGAATGCAGGAGATCTCTTAGAGACAGAGGTTGACACACTGCCGCGTTTTCCGCCGAGGCTCCTTCCACCACCTTGCCAAAGACTGGATGGGCCGAAGGAGTGGAGCGATCGAACCAGTTCAGGAAGCTGTTGTTGTTCACGTTGATGAAGAATTGCGAGCCACCCGAGTTGGGTTGTCCCGTGTTGGCCATGGACAGCGTACCTGGGAGAGATAAAGAGAGAGGGCCTAGCGGGCCGAGCTTGCACGAAGAATAGAGAGAGCCGCGCAGACCCCAAAAACAAAGGCAAAATGACAAAATGCCATTTCTCTTCAGGCCAAGGTGAGATTCGAAATCAGTTTGGGCAAAAAAATACAAAGTTCTCTCCTGCAGGACACCTGGCTCGTTTCCCAGTTTGGTGGTGAACTCGTCCTCGATGTTCCCGCCGCTATCCCTGTAGGCCTTTTGATCCGTTCCCAAGACTTCAAACTCTCCGGCGGTGGGGCCGCCGGTGCCCGCACGAGGGCTCTTGGGGTCTTTGGCGTAGGGGCACCCGAATTGGCACATGAAGTTGGGGATCACCCGGTGGAAGTGGATACCATCCTCACAGACTGACAAAGACAGGCAGAAAAAGAAAGCGAGAGAGAAGGTCCATAGTCCATTGATGGACCAAATGCATGTTTTTGATGCCTCCGAAAACGTCCATGAGGCCATGTTGATTCCTGCGCTTTCCCCAGAAAAGAGGTGGAATAGCGAGTTGCAAAGCCTTTTGAGTTCCAAACCGGGCGTCATAAAAGCCTGTTTTGGCCAAGTCGATCCAGTTGGAGGCCGTCAAAGGCATCTGATCCAAGAAGAGCTCCACCTTGAAGCTGCCCATGCCTGCTGTTTCCATACCAATGTGGACACCCAGCTGGGAGGGTGAACACCAATCATTCAAGAAGTCCAAGAACTGATAGGACGTGTCCCCATTTCAAGAAATGTCCCTTTCATGGACTAAAGTTGTGGTCCCACCAATGCACGTCTGACGGGGTCACTTCTTGGACCCACTATTTGGTACAAAAAGTCTTGAAGATCTTGAAGTATATAAATATGCATTGAATCATGAGGTCAGTGAGTCAGTCCAAAAAGACTGTCAGAGAGGTTTCGAGTGACCTGGTGGGACACCCCTTTCTCCAAAAGAAGCCAAGCCACTCGTCTCGCAGGTCGCAATGGGATTGGCGCGGCAAGCCACGCTTCCGGCGGCTCGACCCTTGGGACGGCGCCGTCCCAAGGATCCAACGCTGGCAGCTCCTGGGACACGGCGTCGAACAGATCGAAGGCCACAGAAGGAAACCATTGGAAACGTTGAAGTGGAAAACGCGGCTTGCGCCTGCTGCAAGCGCACCTAGCTGAAACCCATGAAGTCCAGTGGTTGCTTTGCTGGACGCCTGTCAAATTAACCAGAACAGAGAGGGGCGTGCACGCTTCAACAGTGCGTTGAAAATAGGGCATGTCATGTCGTCCCTTTTTTGACAAGGCACTGAGAATATAAAATATAAAATATCTATCCCAATTGCGGCACGAGTGTGTGCATTTGGAAATGTCATCATCTCCCAGAAAATGCATCGTGTCCCATGCCACTTTCCTTCAAGGCCTTCCCTTTGCTTGCAAGAGGACAACACCAAGAAAGACAAATGAGAGTTCCGACTGGATGAAAACCACTCTGATGCAAGACTATTGGCGTGTTGTGCCACAGTATCCCAATTACTCCAAGACCGGTCGCTTTCCAAGGAAACCTCAACAACGAACAAACCAAGTTTGTCTGCATGGTCCCAACTCAAAATGCTGATGTACTGATCCAACGTGAAAGGGTTTTAGTTCCACAAGAACGATTAGACGAAGGACAAGGAAGCGCACAAAAAGGGAACAGCTAACACAAAGCAGAAACAAGAAACCTGCGGGCCATGACAGTGCAAACAGACAAAGATCCCGCAGCTCCAGCCCTTCCACCAAAGTATTAAACAGGGCAAATCAGAATTATACAAGTATATAAGTCTGGTGGCATCTGACATGTCTCCTGCAGACGGAACTTTGGGGGTTCATCTAACACTTCAACTTTAAACTCAAATTTAAATACTTCTTTCCAGTCAAAACTGGCCTCGAGAACTTCCCGCAAGCGTCCGACAGGAACGTGAATAAGCCCCACCTCCCCCAACCCCCGGACGCTGTGAGAGAACCCGATGCAGAATGTATGATTATTCGATGAATCTCGCTCAACATATGTCGACTGCTGCTACCCTTTTCTGCGAATCGATTCAGGTCTGTACTGTCTGTACTAAAGTGCTTTGGTTTGAAATGCGACCCACGTCGCTTGTGTCATCTGACATCTGACACTCTCCCTGTGGGAGCACTCCATCCGTATGTAGTGACCGAGAGGATACCGCAGGGGCGGTCCTACGGCCACAACGGATGCCAGCTCTGGACAGAGCGATGAAAAGATTAAATAAAACTCCCTAGTCATCGTCAATACCTGGGACCGACGGAACAGGTATGATGGCTAGGCGGCGGTCAGCCGGAAAAGGACAACCGGACGACAGCGGCAGACAGCACAGTCCCAATCTCATGTGGCCGTCAGCCCAGGCTGCAAGCGTCACAAGCATAGCCGTGGTAACTGAAAGTAACCCGGAATACGGCCCTCCAGCACCAGCAAGGCCACAGGTGAAGCGACTATCACCAGGTAACCAGACTCTTCCGGCAACAAGCCAAGTCAGCCACCAGCTCGACTAGCCCCAGGTGGACATGAAAGTAACTAACAGGGTGTGGCAGGGTGGGAGAAAAAGTTTAGCTTGAGGTACCAGCAGCGACACTGCTCCTCAAGGGGCGTCTCCCCAGTTTGGCTTGAGCATTCAAACATTGGGAGACGTTGATTCGAAGCTTCCCAAATAATTCATCATCACCGACCCTGCCTACCTTAAATGATTGAATATATTCGATGAATCTCGCTCAACATATGTCGACTGCTGCTACCCTTTTCTGCGAATCGATTCAGGTCTGTACTGTCTGTACTAAAGTGCTTTGGTTTGAAATGCGACCCACGTCGCTTGTGTCATCTGACATCTGACACTCTCCCTGTGGGAGCACTCCATCCAAGGCACTGACTTATCCAAAGCACTCAAACGAACTGAAAGACCTGAGCGATGAGGTGGTAGGGCAGCTGGAGGAGCATGAGCAGGGGGTAGGTGTGGAAGAGACGAAAATCATGCTGTTGGAACCACGGGTCGTGTTCTCCCTGTCTGCTGATGCCGTCTGACCAGTTGTCCTTACTCTGGACCCATTCAAAGTAGCATGCACTACGGAGTGCAAACAGAAGGCCATGGATGGCTCCGGCCATAGAATCCAGCTCATCGTTGTTGCTGCGACCTCGTATGAGAGCCATGAGGGCAGCGATATTGTCAACAAACCATATACCATGCATTCCGCGAACTGATGAGGCATTATACGCCAGGCCCATGTAGACTGTCAAGAGCTCAAGCTGTGCAATCTTGGCCTCATGATGGGACCACACCGTGAAGATCTTTGGGCTGATGTGGACGACATAGGCCCTTCGGTTACCACGGGGGTCAATGAACAAGACTCCCGCAGAGCCCTCGCGGGGCCTATCTTGCGCTGCATCGGATGCTGCCAAGTATCGGTGTCGCCGTACTGGATTGAGCGGTAATTCTCTTTCAGGCTTCAACTGAAGTAGAGCTCGAATTCTAGCAAAGGACTGTTCAATCTCCGGTGTCATCGCGACTTGCGAGGAGTATTGTCTTTCCTTGATGCTATGGAGGCCCGACCGGCCGAGCTTGCCGAAGCATCCCGTTGTCAAGAAGCCCAGGCAGCCAAAAAGCTTGGCCGCCAGTCCCGGAGGGAGGCGACGCGTCTGAGTGGCCTCCTCCATGATGTCGGTGACCTTGGTGAGCAATCGGTCCCGGACCCAGAACTTGACAGGATTACCCCGGTGGCAGGCAGCCACGTCGTGGATCAGCCCCAGAAAATCAGACTGGGCCGCCAAGGACTGATGTTTCTCTGTTTGGAAGGGTGAGCCAAGGCATCGTGCCAGGTCATTAACGAATGCCTGGCCAGTGCCGCCCATGATACCGAAGTCCTGGATTGTCAGGTCATCAAAGTACATACTGGTCATACAGTAGGCCAGGCGGCGGCAGGCAGCTTGAAAGAACCGGGGAAATCGATTGAACGAACACACAGCATTTGGTAACCCGAACAGAGAACCGTAGTATTGTCGAAAACGGGGGCCACCCACGTGGTGGTCGTAGTATGCCACCACGGCCATGTTGCCATGTGTCGGCTTCATGGGGACATAGCGGTAGGCGTTGGGTAGGTCTTCGCCCCCGGACCAAATACCAGCTTGCAACAACTCAGACACGTGAATCGACGAGGATGCTGCCTGCCAGAGCAATTGAACATGAAGGCCAGGTTGAATGCTCGTACATAGATCCAACTTGTTCGCATCCGAGCTGAGTGCGCTCTGCCCTCCGTCTGCAGCGTCATCGATGACTCGCAACTTACCCGAGGGCTGTCGTATACAAAACCTCCGGATCAGCCTGAATTGGGGGAGGTCCTGGCATAGTTGGGCCCATGTCATTGGGGGGCCACAAAAGCCTTTGGCTTGGTCTTCCTCACCCGCCTGGGCAATGGCCGTGTCGCGTTCACCTGGGCGGAGGCTTTGGATGATGCGGGCAGCCTCTGGCAGGGCGTCCTGGTAGATGGAGGCGTCCGGGATGTAGTGAGCTGGTTGAGCCTTGTACACGGGCACATGCGGGGAAAAGCCCACGGCAGGGAAACCATATATCAGGTTAGCCACGAACGTAGTGTCTGGCCATCCAGTAATCAGCATGATAAGCCCAATCAGGGCGATGTGGCGCCCTTGAGTGGCGGACCGCACGGGTGGTGGCTGATAAGTTTGGAGGTGGTATGTGATGGGCCACATTCGACGGCTCAGTTCTTGGAGCCAACGGCCTGTACGTCTCCTCACCTCCCGCAGGCCCACTCCCTGGGCTGCATAGCCAGATGCGGCAAAGATCAAATCATCATCGACAACACCCATAGTTTCAAATGGGGTGGGTCTCTGTTGCAACTCAAGTGCAAGTTCAAAATGTCGCTCCTCCCCTACGCCAAAGGGGATCATAGGCGGTAAGGCTTTTGCAGCAGCAGCCGCTCCGGGCTGCTGAAGGCCACTCATCGCGATGGCGTTGCGCTCCAATGGGCCCACCAACCGTGGACCAAAGGCGTGTCCGTCCCAGTCCGGGCGGTTCTGCATGTAGTTGAGCCATTGGTAGTGCGAATCATCCACTAGCAGGTCTTCGAGCATAGGCCACTGGAATCCCTCCCAACTGACATCTGGACAAAGGGCCATGAGGCTGGCCACCACAACCTCCTGAGAGAAGCGCAACGGGACTGCCCTGGCAGGGCGAATGCCGGCTGCCATGAGTGAAACCCGTCGCAACTGTTCCCTAGCGGGATGGCCGTGGCCTGAGGTCGACGTAGGACGTGAAGTAGTCCAAACCAGAGCACGAATGATATCGCCATGACACAGCACGTTGTGGGGGCAGTCGCACACCAGCGTCTTGCCATGTAGGGATGGGAGGTCAGCCAGCAGATGGTCCTGGTCGGCGATCCATCTGGCGTAGTGAAGGACACTCTCAGTAGCAGTCCTGCCTTCCCCTGTCCGGAAGGGGTTTTGCCACTGTGTCAGTGGCCAACGATGGGAGAAATGCCCGGGGCCGATGTACACGTCCGTGTCTGTGAGTTGTGACCTCAGTTGCAACACATCGAATGCGACTTGGCGAGTGGGCACATGGGACGAGTCTTCTCGTGGTGGTGTGAGGCCCAGGTCAAAGCCCATGACATTCA